AAATATGCTATAAATAACATTTAAACTGCCAAAATTTGGCAAATATGCATTTTGCTCAGAAAATGGCAAAATATGCGAAAATATGCAATTAAAATTTTTGTATTTCAATCCGTTATGATTTAAAACAAATTTAAATCTTACTTAGAMTATTCTGCAGTCATTATTAAGCAATATGCAAATGCAACAAGTCCCGAACCCTATTGATAACTCATTACAAAGAGTTACAAATTGTAGATCACTGAATAATAATACATTTTTTCTGAGACAATATTATAACATATTTTATCATTATCTGTCAATAGGTTAGGCATGATACGGTCGCCGAACACTCAATATATTTAYTGTCAGTCTGCTGTCGCCCACCTTCTTCGCAGTGTCGAGTGTTTTTAAGATTACAACAGTTGTGGCGTGTGTACGGTACACAATATTAAAGTTCGTACACGAATATAACAATAGTATAATATCTAKTCGATACAGAGGYCAATCGTCGTTTTAGCCGCTTTTACTTGACGTTGACTCGTTTTCTTACCACCTAACGTGTCTCGACGGTCGCATCGAATCACAAATAAATTGGTTTGAAAATATTTTGTGCGATTCTGTCCGGTTGTTGTCAACAGTGATCTTTTAGCAACTTCTATCGCCGTATTTCCTGCATTTACATGGTACGCGGTCGAGTACGCGGGGCGTCATGACGGGACGCGAACGCCGCAAAGCCCGCGACTCATAGCGGGCGTCAAAATTGTTGACAGTCCGATGTTGCCACGTTCCAGCCGAAGCCGCCGTCGCCTAGTGCAATGGCCGCCGCCGAAATCGCAACTAATATCGCGGTAAATCTCACAGAAAATCTCACGGTTAATATCACGTCAAATGTCACCGCCAATATCACAGGCAACGATACCTTGCTACATGACCAACAAAGCTCCGACCTATACAAGGTGCCAGCCCTATTGGTCGTCGTTCTATCCGTGCTCTACGGATCAATATCAGTGATCGCTGTGGCCGGAAATGGGTTGGTGATATGGGCTATCGTCACCAGCAAGCGGATGCGGTCGGTCACCAATCACTACTTGGCCAATTTGGCGTTCGCCGACATACTAATCGCACTCTTCGCCATACCATTTGAAGTAAGTGCAATCATACGTAAACGCTATACTCAATTTCTATATATGATATTATTATATTGATTGTGATGGTTTGGTAAAATATTTTACAAGCATTAATTCACTTCAAACTTCAAACAATCATAAAAACCGCAAATCGATGACAGCAGTTTAATCTATGTGCTCATATTATGTAATTATACAATTTACATCATAATTCGATGTATATTGAATTTTCTTGCTACATAATATATGTATGTCTTAGATGCAGATTAACAATTAGCCAATAACAATCCAAATAACACGTTAAATAAAAATACGAATGDTTCTTTTACTAATCACGACTACCTACAATATTATAATATAGTCTATCGATAATATTGGATTTGATTCGAAATCAATTTAAATTACTTTTACTACAGGTTAAAATATAGATTTGAAGTTATTAGTTTGCATTGTATTTTTGTGTTAAATCCCAAAGAAGGTCATTATCATTATTTCGTAAAATTATCAAATAATTAGCAAACGAAATTCAATTCTAGAAGTATTGTTGTGTTGCATAGACGATATACACCCACTTCAATGATAACACTACTTTTCTAAATAGATACAATTAAAACACAAATTATATGAAATATAATTTTTAGAATTGTAGATATATAAAAATAATTTTTTTTAGTTTGATCAAGTTTCTTTTTAAAATAACATAATATAATGCTATATAATAATACATCCTCAAGATATTTGCAGATGATCCATATGATACATGACTATAATATAAAATGTATACATTTAACGACTTATTATTGTTTTTTATTCAMATTTTACTAGATTTGAATAATTAGTTCTTGTTAATGTATATATTGTATGACATAACGTTCTTCAATGAAACTAGGTAGATTTTTATCAAAGAAAATAATACTATTTTTCAAATTTTAATTTAATTTAATTTATTAATWTTAAAGAATATTTTTAGTTTCTTACATAGGTACATAGAAAAATGTTTGATATACTTGTTGTACTTATAATTATAATAGCCTACAATAATTTATAGATATATTTTTTTATTTAATAGCGTTCAAATATTTTGGAAGAGGAGTATATTATTTGTTAACAAAAATGTTGTGAATAATATATAGAGCAATAATCACGAGATATAATCATTTCCTTAATTTTACTTTACTTAATTAAACTCAAAATGGATATATACATTTTTTCGTAAAAATATTCTGTTACTTACTCTAAATATGAAATAAATAAAAATTGATTACCATTGTAAATATACGGTCCATTGAAACATAAAAATGTAAAAAAATAGAATAATTTCGTGTACTTACCTATGAGTATTTAAAATRCTTTATTATATTAAATACTATTTAAAACCACAAACGTCTATTATAGAGTAAAAAATTACTTCAATCTCAATGATATCATAAAATATACTTACTAATATTATAGGCTGACAGACCGTCTTAGCTAAGAATCGTTTTTCGTATACAATTACTTTATATCTTTGAATTAAAATTTAACACATCTATTACAATGTCTCCCTAGACACCTAATGTATGACAGAGTGTTACCCGCTTACCAGTTTTTTTTTTTTTTATGTATGATGACTTTTATTAATTTAAAAACTCAAAAAACGTTTTTATTTTATAATTAATCCGATTTCACACGTTCATTGTAGTGTGGTAAAAATAAACTTGCGYATTTAAACTCATACAAATTTAGTACAATATAATAATCACTCTCATTTTCTCAATATTATAAAATGGAAAATATTAAAAATGGCTTAGATTATGTTAATAACATTTAGTTAAAATGTTGAACTTTGCAGTTTTGGATTTATATCGATTCCACTCAATTGTAAAACAGAAAAGAGAATTTCTAAAAACAGAGCTAATATGTATAAATGAAAATGTGATTTTCTTTTTTTGAAATTTATTAAATGGAATGTAAATATAAATATATAAATAAATGAATTTTTCAAGTGAATAATAATATGTAAAAAATAATTATCTTGAAAAATCATTTTGGATTAAAAAATGGCCAATTAACAAATATACGAAATAACATTCTTCATTAATTTGATATTACATTTCACTTTTATTGTAGTATACAATTAGCGAAAAGGTAGAATATTTGGAACTTCTTCTAAATTAGATTAGTAATAACTTATAATAGTCTACTACAGTTCTGTAAGTATATAAATTGAACAATAGCTGAACTCTGTATTTAGGCTCAGGCATTCGATGCAACTGGATTTTCAACAATAAACATTTTGGATTTTTCTACTCTGGCCTTAATAATTTAAAAAAATTGAATTGATTGATCTATTACATGTAACTATATTAAATAATAAAATTTATAATTGTCCATTTCTAATTATAAACAAATCTGAAACAATTATCGTAGTTTTATGTAAATATTTACAAAGTAAAGCAATTATTATTTTACCRAAATAACTGGTTTTTAATTTAATCAACTTTATATTATTATATTTTTTGAATGGCGTTTTTTAACTTAGTTTCACGATTGAATACAATTATTTCCGTCTATGAGGGGCATTTTTTTTATGTTTTAGTCATGGAGGTTAGCTTCTGAACTTTTAATTATTTTAACTTTTATACATTCAAAAAATAAAAMTAAATTAAAGATTTTACGGTAATCCCGCCGAAGCAAACTTGATATTAAAACGGAAATCCAAGTTGAATGGATTTTTCCCCCATGAAACAGCAGACCTATATTATAGAGATTACAAAAAAATTGACTTTTTTATCAAAGAATTTAAATTATATTAAAAGTAAAAACAAAGGTATAAAGAACAAAAATCGTTTTAAAATATTTTGTTAGAGCTAGGTAATGTTGAAAATAAGATATTAGCTATATATATATATATATTTATGCCAGACTTATAATATTATAGTTGCGGTGGTAATTGTATTTTGTAAAGCGTATTAAACAAAAYTATACGAATAATACTTTTCATAATTTTAATTAATGAAATGTGAGAATTCAGATGGGATGATAGCATGCTTATCACCCTCCTTGGTATGTTTCTTCCTAGAAAACAAATACTTACACAAGATATATTATTCAGTAGGTTGGAGACATTTCTTAACAAAATTGGTAAAAAAAAAAAATTATTTGTTATTTATCCCTAATCAACATTGATTATTGATAACCAGATATCACTGTAGGGAAAATTAATTCTAAAATTACTAATCACACTATTTAGAAATATATTTAGGAATCCCACAAGGGGTGCTTGTTGGACCTGGAGTACGTAGGTGTAAGTTTTGAAATTTTGATAGAAATTATTCTTATGTATTATATACTATATTTAGTATAAGAACCAAAAATTTGTGTTTTTTKGRKGGGTGGGGGGGAGGAGCTGGGTAAATTAAATAATGTTATAACAGATTAAATTATCTCAAATCTAAGTTAATAATCCGTGGTTTTATTTATTAAATACTTAAAACGAATGCGCTTTATATTCAAAAGGTGGCAACTTTAAAAACAAATCTAAAAAAATGTCTTTTCTGTAAAAAAAAAAAATAAAATAAATGTTTCAACAAAATATTTAAATTCTATCATGTATATATAAATATATATATATAAATTATAATAATTAGCAAATATTAAATAAATATTAATCTGACAATTTTAATTTAATTTACCCGTGTAACGCAGTGTATCTTAGATTTTTTTTTAATCATCAACTGTGATTTCAATATTAATAAATTACGGGAAAGTTTTACTAAATCTAGAAATTTTCAGTTATAACATAAAGTAATTTAAGTAAAATTTGAATTGAAATTAGTGGTCCACGTTAAAATAAAGCACGATGAGTATTATTCAAAAAGGAAGAAGTCCTATGTTAAAAAGTCATTCCAACACCGTGGACCCCGAAATATCGGCTAGTACCGAATTGGTTCCTGAACTCCAACCCCACGTGCCGAATTGGTACCCRTTTGAAAAAGGTATTTTATGAAGGTAAGCCAAATTGGTTCCCGTTTAAAAAAGGTATTTTATTAAGTTGAGTCGAATTAGTTCCCGTTTAATAACGCACATTTTCTTTCTCAATTTTACAGGCTTAGGACTGTCAACTTAAAAGTAGGCTTG